CGTCGATACCAAACTCGAAAATGTTTAATGTGTTGAAAAAGAGTACATATATGTTTTACTTTGATTTCTATGTTTTTAACTGACAAAGGTTATTTATTAGCCCCACATGTGATTTATGACGCTTTTCCCAACAACAAACTCGAGCGGAAATGGCAAACACACACCCACACACAATCACACACACGAACACCTGGGCACACTCAAACATACACACATTTGGCCTTTGCTATTCTCAAAATAACTCATAAATTAAAACATTTTTTATGCAACCTCAGCCAAGCCACAATGTGCAATACTCGCTCCAAGCAAAAGCTTTCCAACAAAAACTTAGTCATTTTTATTTAATAATAAAAAAGCAAACGAACCTAAGCTAGGGAGAGCAATTAAGAGAGAGATAGATAAACAAAGAGAGCCGTCTTAAGAGAGAAAACAAAGCTCTGTCAGTTTCCAGCAGATTCGTGCAAATTCCCAGGCACTCTAAAATTAAAGTTCAACTATAGAAATATTCAGGAAACAAAACCGCTTGAAATTATTCATAATTAGAAACAATTTTAAATTATTTATCATGTATATTATATTTGTATATTTTGGGTTCACTTTAGTGGGATTGCTCTGGATGGAGGCTTCAGTTTAGTTTTTTTGCTGCTCTTTTTAGGTGAGCGACGTAGACACACGTGAAAACAAGTTTTATGCAACAGCTTATTGTTTACTTATTGTGGGGGTTTTTTGTTTGTTGCTCGTTTAATCTGTTAACCAGTAGTTGAATGTGGGTTTATATTTCGTTAAATTCAGCTACCTCTACTGCACTTTGAACACTGATGTGGTTGGGACTGTAAAACGCGTAAACTGGTAGAACTATGAATGAAATGCACTACTTTATGTTCCGCTTGACACGTTGGACTCGACTGAACGGATTGAGAGTTTGTTGGCAACTGATTCGTGTAGACGGAAACTGGCAACGTGCTGGCTCTGTGCCTCTGTGGCGCTGCGCTCTAAGCCAAGCTTTGCTGCTCTTTATCTTCATTTTCAGCTTCGCTGCTTGTTTTGTTTTCTTTTTTTTCCGTCGCTCTTTTCCCCATTCTTTTTGGTCACATCTTCCGTTTGTTTTTGCCGTTTCTGCTGTGTCTGTCTGTTTGTTTGCATGGTGGCTGGTGGTGCCAGATCACTAGGAAATGATTTTCAAACTGCAGCTTTGGCGCTCAATGCAACAGCTCGGCTGGCATGAGGCATGACCCCCTTTCCGTGACATTTTTTATCACTTGCTGATAAAAATAATGCCATGTGCGTGTGTATCTGTGTGTGGTGGTTGTTGGTTGTTGGCATGTGTAGCGTAACGCAGACTTCAATGAATCGATACGCCCGTGTGTCGCTCCAACCGACTCATGCGCAGTAACGCCAACGGGGATGGCACTTGACCGAGAGAGCAGACAGTGTTGGTTAATTGCTGATAAATAACGGTACATATTTATGTTTCTTGCAGTTTATTAATTAATACATAATATCTGATGTATTTGGATATATATATTATTTAATTCCGACAATAGTTTGGCATTTTTAGTGCAAAATTAAGTTGCATTCTCACCATGGTTATGGATTACTCTCCCTTTCTCTTTCTTTCTCTCTCTTTTCAAGTATCTCCCTATTTATTCGCTCTCCTGCTTTGTCTCTCTCTCTGGACTCACATGTCTTTACACTCATTTTCCGTTTGGTGGGAAATTCTTATACAAAACCCCAAATCGCTGCTCAGTGAAAATTTCATCACCGTCGTCGACAGTTCAGTCAAATCTATTTGCTCTCTAAATTCCAAAGCACAGACTAGCCTTTCAAATTTGTCTTAAATATCTTTTGCGTTCACTTTTGATCTTTCCCAAAACAGCATTAAAGTTCATTCACAACATAACTGAGATCTTCGCGCCCTGCATACAGAATTCGTGGCGAGGTAAATTCTCTAGGATTTTTTGATTTGGTAAAAAGTGCAACTCAAACTCGAAAGAACTGCCAAAAAATCGAAACACGGCTAAAGAAAAATACTTGTAAAAAAATTTCTGTATCAGCCAGTCAGCGTTGTTTCTACGGAGTATCTGTGTGCACGTGTGTGTGTGTATTTTAGTGTGTATGTGTATGTGCATTAGTATTTGTGTGTGTCTATGTATGTACGTGATAAGCGTAGACAGACGCCGTAACAACAAAACGGAGAGGAGACCCCACCAGCCCGGGGCCCAGTGGATAGATAGAAGAGGCAACATAGCTTTATTGAATTACAAGTAAAACAAAGAGCGAGCGGGCCGACGCGACTTAGTCGCCGATTAAAGCGTTCGGTGGAGTGCCGGGAGAGGAGGAGGGATAATACGCAACCTGCTAACCCACAAACCCACTGCCAGCGGGGGAGCCAGTGGCTGGTTTTAATACTGCTAATTGTTAGCAAAAAAAAATAATGAATATCCTAGATATACACACAGCAACGCAACCGAGTGAAAACTATTTCACACTGACCGCCTGCAAGTATGCAAGGGAAAATTGTTTGCTCTTTTCCGGGTAATCCATTTTGGTGGGGCGAGGCGTAGCAGTATGTGAAGCGACAATTTTGTGGTAGGCTGTGCAAGTCTTTGACCCCAAAAAAACTCCCAGAAAGAGCTCCAGGCAGAGCTAAGCTTTAGACGAAACAGAACCAAAACAATTTGCGTGCCGGTTAACAGTCACACAATCAAACCCCTGGACTCTTTGTCTGCGACAGCTAGTGTGACTCCGAGACTTGACGCAGAGTTGACATTTTTAATTACCATCGAAAAGACATTAAGCCCCGTTTTATGACAGGCGAACGCACATGCCTGGCGCACAGTCAGCTTGAAACTAACCCGAAAGGAAATGCCGCACGAAAGTGGGTTAAACATAGCTTCAGGTGCTCCAACTCCGGTTGTGGCTTCCTCCTTGGAGCTTTGCGAAAAAGGAAAATGAGAAAAAATTGCTCGCTCTCATTGTCTCTCTCTACGCTTTTTCTTTTCCCATTGCAGTTTATATAACTAGTTGACAGTAATGCAGCGGTTTTAGCTGCAATAAAAGACGAAGGAGAGAGAACTTTAATTTCGAGCTGACGTTGATGGATTGCGGTGGCAGACTGAGTTGAACCCGACACCAAATAACCCCAGAATCAGCTCGACCACCCCGATCCCGGCCAGAGGTTAAACCATGCCATAAAGTTTTTTTTGCCAGCACAGATTTATGCTGGCTACCAAAAAGTTGCGGGCCAACAGCCAGGAAAACACTTCAAGCCCCGAACTGGAAGCGGGGAACAGAGTGAACAGAACTGAACAGGACCTAGAACTGACAGCCGAGACCCTCAACACGTTACTGTGATTATTAATTCAAAAAGTTTTCACACATACACACTGCCCCAGAGAGAGAGAGACCGGGGCCAGTGACTGGCAGACGGCAGACGGCAGACTGGCAGAATTGCAGACTGCCGGGCATCCGAAAATATTCCCCAAATCAGTTTCACTGGCAGAAAAAGCATTGCAATGGTAGCAATCATATGAATTATATAAGCAGACTCATTCAGAGTTAGCATTGGGAGAGCCAGATGCCCTTCAAAGTCAGACAGTTGATGGCTTTGCCTGTTCAAACTAAACGAACGAGACTCCAACTGGAGCATAATTTAATCAGGCTTAAAGTCGCTCGGTAAATAGATTAATCAGAACAGTTCAGTCGTGTTTATTTCGCTTGGCAAAGACACAGATAGGCATGGATAGAGAGCCAAACAAACAAACAATTGAGGCCATCAATAATGAAATCGATTCGGGTTTCTGTCACTGCCAATCGGTAAGACTGCCAGCCTACTGGTGAGCATTTTATTTCCGCTGCTCTGCTCTCTGTGTGTTCTTCGGCACTGCCAAGGCGCTGAACTTTGACATTTCACATTGCACGGCCAGCCAAATGCCAAATGTCAGGCAAGAGCGGCACATGTCCTGTGGCAAGTGCAGCCGTAGTGCAGAGAGTGGGCCAAGCTGAGGAGAGCACCTCGAGGATGTCCTCAGCGAGTGTGGGCGCCAAGAGCGGAGACAATTTAACGCCACAGACTCTGCGGCGTCCTTCAGCGTCTACGTAACATGCCCATCCACAGGCACAGCCACAGCAACTTAATAGGAAGGCTTATGTCATGAATGGGATTAGGTCTCTAAAATTGGATATTTTTGCCTTTGTAATGACTTTCAAATTATGTACATCTCATCAGGAACGAAGTCTCGAATTGTCTCGACTCTCCCAAGCAACCAGTCGACTTTAAGCCTTAAGCCTTTGACCCTCACTTGGTGCTTGTAAGTCGGCTACAGAAAGTTGCACAACTCCTGCTTTGCCCTTGGCTGGCACACACATATTATAGTTGGGATAAGTGAAGCACAAATTTCTGATGTACCCCGGGACATATTAACGCACACTTCAGGCTGGAAAATGCGAATTTGTTTAGGTGTTATTTACGGAGCGGCAGCGGCAAGGACCACACTTATTTACATACAACATTTTGTTGCAAAATGTTGGGCAGTCGTTTCGTGCACAATCTCCACCACTCCACTGCCAGCTCCGCTTGACTGTATCGGAGCTGTGTGGTGGAGCTTGTGTTTCTATGCTTTGTCCTAGTTAGCGGCCAGTGTCAGTGCAATGAACCAAAAACAATCTTTGGCTTGCCACCCAGTTGCTGGCAACAGCAACAAAGGCGACAGCCAGTTGTCCCCAGAGATGGCAGCTAGTCAGTCAGTCAGTCAGTCAGTCACTCGTCCAGTCGGTTGGACAGCAGTCTGATAGCTGGCTCGGTTCCCGTTCCCCGCTCTTTGTTGTCCGTTTGTTTTGTGATAGTTGTAGCCAGAAACTTTTCGAGCTGAAACAGCAGGACAATTGGGCTTAAAGTTTCACTAAAGTTTTGAAACCCTTTTTTTATGTATTTTCTCCCCTTTTTATTTCAGATTTAAGCAGCAAGCAGAAAAGGGTCTTTTAGGAGAGCGAACCCAAGCATCAGCGAGCATCCGAGGCCCACTGTTCGACTCCATTGTCGACCACTGTCAATATTAGCGCCATTGCAACTGCTGGGTGTGGGCGAATCTGCGCCCCGCCACCGGTAAGACTGCTCCACGCCTCCAGCCACCACTCACTCTAACTATGTATAACTTTAACTCACCTAAGCTTAGCTAACACACGCATCATATGCCACATATCTTCACGTATCTTCACCTGCCATGCTTCGCCTTCACTCAGCTTTTAAGTTTTCCATCTTTTCCTTTTATGCCTTTTTAAGTGGCCGCACGAAACTTCAATCAAATGGGAAGCACCACACGCATTATTCCAAATTGCCCCCCACGGGCACGATTGTGTGGGGCATGTGTTCGGGTGCCAGCGAGAGCCCGAACCCGAATGTAAGGCTGAAAAGTTTCAAGTGCCTGTAGAGCCCGCAGGCCTCGACAATAAATACAAAACCCACGATGACGTTGTGCGACATTCTGGTCTACAAGTGTCTGACACTGTTGACAGGCCACCTAAGGCCCGGGCCCCAATCCTCATCCCCTCATCCCCTTATCCCCATTCCAGCCCGACTACGGCCCAGCCAATCCTGAGTTGAAATTGATTTTCGTTGCTTTGTGTACCACCAAATGCCACACAAAAGACTCTTGGCAATATAATGGCTGTTTTTGTGAGTGTTCTTTGCCGTGGCAGCTTTGCATTTGCACTTGCCGGGCATTGTCCTCAAAGTGTCCTTGGCTGTTGCACCTGTTGCAAGACATTTGCCGTACATCCGTACCCTCAATATCATGCTCATGCTCATGTGCAGTTTACTTTTATGTTCTGTTCTTTTCTGTTCTGTTCGCAGTGGTCGCATATTTTTAATTAACTTTCGGTTTAATCTTTTCTAATTGCAACGTTTTTAATGGAATTTTAGTTTTCACTTACCAACGACCAACTCAGCAGCACCCACTACCTCCGTCCGTTCTTTGACTCCACCACTCATTCACAGCATTTTCCTATTAGCAAAATCAACTTTTGCAATTTCACGGTCTACTAAACCCATTGCTCTGGCCGTTCTGTAAGTTAAACGAAGTTGAAGTAGAGAGTTCATTAAATAAAACAAAACAAAATGTACTAATCGTTATCCTAACCAGCTGACATATGAAATTTGAAATGGGTTTTCCTACCCCACTCCATTGCAGAGGGCAATCATAATTGCCTCATTTTGTGATGATTTTTTACGATTTTTACCATCTTTCACTGTGAAAATTCACATTCGAAGTGGCCGCATCGCGCATCGCGCATACGCCGCGTGCCACCACGTACTTGCTGAAGAGCAAAGAAACTCAATTAGCAGATTTATCCATTACAAATTGGTAATGATAGTTGGGAGTTTGTGGCAAAGTTGTGCGCACCACCTCTAACGAACCAGATGAGAAGCAGATAGACAGCTAACAGATACATACTATGTAGATGTGTGGTTAAGTGCCTTTATTTTATGTTTGAATATGTGACGCTTTAAATAACTTTATGCCTTAAAGTACGATCAATGTCTATGCACTATAAATTCGGGAAATCGTTTAGTGAATGCCAAAATTGAAAGCACGCTAACTAATTGTTAAAACATAAATGAATACGAATCCGAATCCGAAACCGATACCGAAACTGAACCAATAAAATCCACTTTGTATTTCCCCTTTCCGGCGTGCCGCAACTCAAAAGGAAGCGAAAAGCAGCACCCTGAATTTCTCATCGTTCAAATCTAGCTTCACTTCCAATGTTAATTTCCTGAAGAGAAGGTAAAGACCTTAAAAAGGAAGTGCCCCCAGTCCCAAGTGCAAGTTGCCACTTGGGGCGGGCGGGGCTCCGATGAACGAAACTAATTTGAAATTTCATATGTTTGTCTATTCTTTCCCCCTCTCTCTCTCTCTCTCTTTATCCATCTCTCTCTCGCTCTCTCTCTTGTGTGGAACTTTGTATGTTCTCGTTTACGTACCCCTTTGCCCACCCACTCGACTGTGCTGCACAATTTAACTTGTCTACTCGTCCGGCGGTTGGCAATCGATTTGCAATCTACCCGATCAATCAAACAATCAATCAACCAATCGAACCACCACTACATACCCCAACCACACACCCAACCACTAACACATTCCACCACACACGATGCGCAGATTCAGCTCGGGAGACTTGTCTTCCGAGATCGACGATGTCGATCCCAATAGCTTGCCGCCCGCGGCTCGTCCCATCCAGGACCAGCCCACGAAGCCGACGGTGCCGGTCGCCGGTGGCCCTCCCAATATGCCGCCTCCGCCGGCACCGGGCCAATCGGCGCCCGGTCAGCCGGCTGGGGCTGCGCCAGAGCTGTCGCTAAGTTTCGGGGCTGGCAAGGCGCCGACTACAGCGGCTCCGGCTCCACCGCGTGGTGTCAGTGCCCCCACCAGTCCGGCCAAGTCGCGTGAGAGCCTGCTGCAGCGAGTGCAGAGCTTGACGGGTGCTGCCCGAGATCAGGGCGCCTCCATACTGGGTATGATCTGTCCCAGTTTTGTGGACTGAAGTCCCTTGCCCATGTTCTGGAATATAATTTCTTCCCCACAGGAGCTGCTGTGCAGAGCGCCACACAACGGACACCGGCCTTCAACAAGGACAAGTACTTCACGCTCCTGGTGCTGGATGACCAGAACACGGACTGGTCCAAGTACTTCCGGGGCAGGCGATTGCACGGCGATTTCGATATACGCGTGGAGCAGGCCGAGTTCAGGGTAAGCAGCGCCTGGCACCTAAGGGACCATTTTGCTAATCGCAATAATCATTGTTCGTGTTTGTGTTTGTGTCTGCGTCTGTGTGCTTTCGCAGGACATTACGGTGGTATCCAGCGCCGATACCGGACCGGTAGTCACCATGGCCGCCTACCGCAGCGGCACTCGGGTAAGTTATCCCTGTCGGCGGGCCTGTTTGCGCTTAATTAGTGCAATGGCCCAGTCGCTTTTATCCTTAGCCATCCGTTTGTGCGTTTATTACCCGCCGGGCTGTCAACTCTCCTTTACTTTGTACCACGACTATCTGTATGAGCCGTGGGAGTGAGTGGCTCAAGGACTTTGGTGTCCAGCCAGCGCCAGCGGGCTTAATCCCGTGCCCGACCAGCCCTTAAGCGTTGGCAGTCCATCAACGGCTATTGTCTGCCTGTTTGTCCAGCTCTGAGCTCGACACTCTGGCGCTCTATTTTTCACAGTTTATTTTCGAGTCGTTCTGTTGTTGGCTCTACGATGCTGCCATTGCACTGCTGTGTATCAGAGGCAATAAAAAACACTTGTGGCACGAGTGCGAGGCACTTGGGTCGGTCAGCAAATTAGACGCCAGTTGCAATAAACACCGTTGATGGAGTGAATGGTATTTGAATACAATAAATAATACGTAGCCTGTACGGGTTCAACGTTCTGTAGAAATGCACACGAAGCAATAAAACAGAGATTTGCCGTACAAACGAAGGGAGAGCTAATTTAAATTTAACATTTTTATTATAACGCACAGCAGGAAGCACCTCCGAGCCCATAAAGTATACAAATTTTAGATGTGTTCTTAACAGGCTGTCCCTCCGTTTTTCTAGTCCAAGCTATCGTTCAAGTTATACCAAAAGATTGCGCGTGTTGCATGGGTAGTGTAATTCTTGCCACCTGAATGACCTACATGAGATATAGTTGTATTAATCGATTTATTTCAAAGGTACATACGCCTTGCTGAGCCTAAAAAGCTTTCGTACAGATTTGTACATAAAATCTTCGTGACATTTACATCCAATTGAGCCTCAGTTGCTCCCGAGCGTACCAAAGACTAAAGGAAAGCAAGATCTATAGGAAATAGCTCTGCTGATAGCCGATAACCCCTTTATTTAAATAATTCTGAAATTTCGACGCAAACTTTGTTTGGCTATAATTTATTAGCAAGTTCCTCAACGGTTACTTCGCGATGTCTACATCCCAGCTGGCGCCAATTCAAAATTTTACTTTACATGGGCGGGACACGCCCACAAATATTAATTCAACATGATTTCTACATTTCCACTCAACGGCTTTTGTGGCGCCTCCACAGATTTCAACGGTTACTTCATGAACTTCGCCGATCAATAAGTTATTGATCAGCCTATTAGACTTTAAACTTATTTTCTTCGATCAACTGAAGAATTGTCTGTCCAACAAATGTTATTATTGAATGTATAAGTCCAGTAAATACCGTTTGTTACCAGCAATTCAAACTCCAAATGGTTTTCTGCTAATCTAAGATTATATCTAAGTGAATGGTTTTTATTCGTTTCGTATATTTTCCAATGAATAAATTATAAAAAAATGTGTATTTCGATCGTTGTGCATTTAGCATTTAGTTCTAAAATCTAATTAAATTCTTTTTTATTTATTCCTTTGGGGAATATCACACCAAAAACAGGTTGCGCGTTCCTTTCGGCCGGACTTCGTGTTGATACGCCAGCCGCCGCGTGACGGTTCCAGCGACTTCCGCTCCACCATTCTCGGACTCAAGTACGGCGGAGTGCCCAGCATCAATTCGCTGCACTCGATCTATCAGTTTCAGGTGAGTCGTAGAGTTGATATAGATACCCGGAGTGATGGCCACTAATATTCTGATATCTGATATTCTGGTTTTAGGACAAACCCTGGGTGTTCTCGCATCTGCTGCAGCTGCAACGGCGTTTGGGCCGCGACGGCTTCCCACTGATCGAGCAGACCTTCTTCCCGAATCCACGCGATTTGGTAAGTGTACACGATATAAACACTAAAAGCTAGACACTAATTAAGTAGCTGTTCGAAGCTCGGTTACATTTCAAAAGCATCAATTAATAAATAACACATTAGGCATAACGTACGTATTAAAGCTCTAGACAGAGAGAAACGGTAGCATAACAAGGATAGGGGGATAAGGGGAAGCTGTCTGGAGCAGCAGCCCCATCCGCCTATGGATTGCTGAGGCACTTTCTGTAGAGTTGCGTGCGTCGCCAGCGGCAACGGGAGATGCTACCGTTCACCGTGTGCGTCACATGGGGCATGCAGGCGCTGTAGTCGCGCTCGCACTTGCCGAACGGCGACCACTTGCAGCCATCGGAGTACTCTCGCTGTCGCAGGCACTGCTGGCCAAAGCAGGGTGATACCTTTTTCGGGGGGAATAGGGAAACCAGTTAGCTCGATCAGAGGATCATTCACACGTTTGGTAGCTACTCACAGTGCAGTTGCAGGTTTTGCCATAGCCGCCGCTGAAGCCGTGGCGCTCGGTGATGGTCATCTTGGTGTACTCCTTGTAGTAGCTGCACACGTTCAGCGTGGGCATGCGTCCGGCTATGATGTAGACCTTTCCAATGTCCAGTCTGATGCCACACATGGAGTCACTGTTGGGCGTGGCCAGGCGGCCATCGCGCAGCATGCGGCGTGCCTCGGGAGTGGCCTAGAGGAAGAGTATATAGTTACGTTACATGACCCACCAAAGGAATGTCAATGCCACAGGACTGGGACTGAGACTGGGACTGGGACTGGCTCACCTTGTATGTGCGCTTGATGTGCACCTTGTAGGTGGTCTTGCCCGGATCAATGGTGTCCGATTTGCGCAGCACTCGCAGCTGCACAACTGTCAAAGAAATTCATGCTTTTACTTATTGAATTCCCCAAGGATTGGCACAGGGTCTGACTCACCATAGTCGGCCTTGCAGAAATGCGTCTGTGGGTGCGAGGGCATGCAGGAGCAGGCGTCCACTAGGCGACTGTTATGCGCCAGAACAGCCACCAGGACGAGCGCCAATAAACCTAAATATTTTCTGATATCCATGGCTTCGAAAGCTTCCCTCCTCCGCTGCTTCTCCACTGCCTTGCGGCAGATAAAATGACTTTATGCCGTTCTCAGTGAGTCCCCCGCTTCGCTCTACAGAGAAAAGAGTACGAAAAAAAGGGGAAAATTGAGATTACTTTTTATGATGACGACAGTGTTTTAATGGGAGGGCGTACATATATAATGCTTATCAGGCAGAAGCAGACTGAAGGTCGCAGAAAGTTTAATTACGCCTGTCTTACTTATGCCATTCAGATGTGTGGGCTATCGGCGAGCTGAGGCTGAGAAGGAGGCCAGCAAGAGCAGGTCGTCCATCAATCCAGCCGTCAATGCAATGCTCAATTATGCATATAATATATACATATATCACATACACCACACAACACACACACCACACACACACCCTGTGTGTGACAGCAATTAATCGCGACTTCTGTCAGAGACATGCACGCTTCAGGGGCGGATCATCAAGAGGCATTATGGGCTAAAGCACTTGACTGTCTTTCACTCACCACTCTGCCCTGCTGTGCCCTGCTCTGCCCTGGCCTGCGCACTCGGAATTGAATTTTGCTTTGGCTTTATTCTCTTTTCATCAATAATTTACTTGTGACTTACGCAAAGCCCATTCCGCAGTCAATTTAGAATGCATAAATCCTACGAAAAGTAGTTCAATTGCCAGAGCATTTCAATTGAAAATTGTTTATGGGAAATTCATAGAAAAACTTGAGAACCACAAATCGAAATCCATTACAAAACGGCTGCGATACGATGTACATGTACTATATGTACATATATTAACGCAAAAATATTGTATAATATCGAGAGTGGCAAAGGAAGGCAAAAGTAATCAGCTGCAGCTCCAGCTCCCCCCCATTCCAGTCAGCGCCACACTGCTGTTGTCGAACTGATCGACAGAGATAGGCAGGTCGTACAAAAATATATAGAAAAGCATTGCATCATATACATATACATATGCATATAGCCATATGCAGGCCAGGCCAGCCAGCCTATCTATCCATGTGCAGCCAGTGTGCCCTCAGTTTCAGTTCCCCGATCCCCAATGCTCCATCAGCAGATTCAGTAGCGCGGCATCGACAACCCGGCAGCCCGGCAGCTCGGCAATGTGGCAATTAAATTGAAATAAAATTGAATTAAAAGCATTTTGCGGAAAAGCCACTAGAAAACATACGCACACAGAGGAGTCTACGTCTACTCGACTGGGGCATGGGGCACAATCGAAGAAGTTGCATGCGTGAATCGATCAGGGAAGGGGCCACGCCACCACAGAGAAGGGCTGCCGGGTCGTGGGCCATTGATTGAATGCTACCAAGCAGGCAGGCAGTCAGGCATCCCAGGCAGGCGGGCATAATGCATCAAACTATTTATTAAGTGGCAGGCCAAGCGGCGGCCAGACAGGCAGACGCGCGCTGCCTAATGGCACAAACTGGAGCAGAGGAGCGAGGGATGGAGGTCGTTGGAGGTGTTGGTGTCGGTGTCGCAATGCCATGGGAGAATATTTCGTAGTTGGAAAGTTGCTCCGTTTCGCTCAGCTCTGACACTTTGCCTGGCAATTAACGGCGCGGATTTGTTTAACAAACAGCCCGACAAGGCAGCCAGCGCACTAATACCCACAGACGAGAGAGTGACAACAAACAAACAAACAAACAAGCGGGGCATTCATCCAGTGCAGCAACAAAAAGTGGCACACACACACACATTGGAAACGTCATCAGCGTTTAGTCGATAAATCACCTCCGAGAGCCAATTGGCAGCAAGAAAAGCGTCTCAGAGGCGTTCGAAATTCGCACGATTTCCTTTTGAGCTTTTTTTTTTCGTTCGAGTCACAAACGAATACATGAATGTCTTTATTTATATATGCACTGATATCTGAATACACAATTAGCGTGGCCATATATCAGGCAGGCATATGTAGTTTTAAGCCAGCAAGCAACAGGGGCTGCCTGCCTGTCAGCAAACTTTTTTTCGGTGCTGTGCGTGGAGTGGAGTGGTGCCGCCGTCCCAGAGGGGGGGATCAGCTTCTGGTGTTTGTTGACAAGCTCTACACGTGTCAATTAAATGTTATATATTATGGCACACGGCACATCGCATTCATTCGTACGAAAATCTAATATCCCCAGCCGTTGTTGCCACCATTTGACGTCACTTTGCGCCTCGTCTAATTGACACAGATGTTTGCTCGGACTGCCGCTGCCACTGCCCTGGCACTGGCTGTGTGTCGTCATCATCATCATCGATGTTGACATTTGACACTAGTGTGATTGTCAGTCAGTCGGTTAAAGTATCAAGCGGCTGCCATCCAATTATGCGGGGCCACCAGCACCAGAAACAAGCACCAGAGCAACAGCAACAATGGGCCGCAGTCCGCAAACAATTTCGAAAGATATTAAGTCAAATATCAGCTCGAGTTCAATTAGCATTGATTTTCACTCTGGCCTCAGGCCACTTCAAGAATGCCAGTTGCAACTAGGGTAATCTTTCAAGACGGAGATGAAATACCCTTTTTATCGGGGGAGGCAACAATTTCAACAATTTCTTGGAAGCAAAAACCCATGGGCTTATCCATTTTTGGGCAATTTGAGCAAACAATTACAAATCCCAAATATGTATGAGAAATGAGTTTTTGATAAAGGTTCACAAACGACAAATCCATTTAGCATTTCTTAAATAAATTTTACACCGAATTGCGTGACAGTATTTATTTTGCATAATTTTTGTGTTTGAATGAAATTCAAATCATAAGCAGAATAAGCAGAAAATATGCAAATTTAATAATTATTAACACTTGCCCAGACAGAGACAGACAGACAGACAGGCAGAGAGATTTCCCAGGTGTTTATATTCAAAAGGATTCACTAAGCTCAGACATGAAAAAGGCCACAGACAGGTAAATAAGTAGCAAAAATACAGACAGAAAAGGGTTTCCCGGCTCACAAGCCAAAGCAGCTAAAGCGCCTTTCGGCCGAACTGTGGTTTTGTGGGACGGTCTTTCATGGTTGGATGGGTGGGTGGCCGAGACCGAGACCCGGATCGGGAAACTGCGCCAAAAAGGCTCACAAAGCAAAGCCACATAATTAATGCGATGCTGGTTTGCTGTTTGGGAGAGAGTTTTTCCGAGAGTTCAGTTACCAAATCTGAGCTAAAAGTGGAGGAGCAATGCAGCGCTGCGATGTTTGTTTTATGAGCACTTAATTGCGCCATAAATGGCCGATAATGTCGGCCTAATGTGTGTGGACCCACAGCATTATTGACAGCTACAAGACAATGGGGGAAAAATGCAGCGATATAAAAATGTATTTATAGCATTCGGATTCTCCATTTTCATTGCACTGCACGCACTTCAATTTACGATGCTCGATATTTTGCGCCCAACAAATAGGAAGGCATAGCCCATACAAAATGTGTGCCTAATTAGCTATGTGTGCAACGGCTTTCTGAAACTCAGTTTTATAGTACCCTACCCTACCCTACACTCTATATGAAGAGCACTCTATGAGCACATTTACATACATATGTATCATAATACTTGAGAGCTTCTTGTTCGATCTATCCAACTAAAAATTTTCATAAAACTAAGGCAAAGCTACAGCTAGACTAGCATCTCTCTTAGGCACTTCAGAGTATTTTCTTTCTTATCTAAGAGTTATCATTCGAATAACTTTTATTTGCATTCTCTGGCTAAAGAACTGTTTATCTTAACACCTCTTAAATTCATTTAAAACCAAAGCAAACAGCGCTTATTTAGAGGGTGACAAACAGTCGAGTTGTGTTGTACAGAAAATGTTCTTGCTTTTAGCGGTCATTTACTTTTTGATTTTGCGCTTTGCCACAATTCGCTTTTTTGTTTGTTTGTCATTACCGATTGACTTTCTAAAACAGTGTGGAAGGGGGAATGGGTTCGGTTCGGTTCGGTTATGGG